TCTATCAACTTATAAAAAATAATTTTAGGTGATGTCTTAAAATTGTTTGGATAATCAGGTCATTCCCAAACTTGCTTAGAAAAGAGGATTACTCTTCTGTTTGTAGCTATACTTCAGAATCATCGCTATTGCTTCTGTACAAGAGGGGGTTGGCAGTATGGGTCATCTGAGATCTATGGCATCAATCTTCTAACACAGAATAACTCTTCTTTTTTCCAACTCTCAGTACCTATATGCCAAAGTAACAACTTATTCTTGTGTGAACTTAGCAACAGTAAAATATATAATTTGAGCTACATTGTTTCCCTTTTTTATTGTTTGCATGAAAACCTAGCATCTTTGTGGAGCTCTTGCTTTATTATTGTCATTATTCAGTGGGGTTTCTGCATCTTCTCCCTTTGGACAGTTGTGAGTTTACATTTCGTTCTCCATGCCGACTAGATGGTAAACTGTTACCTGTAAAGGGATGACATTCTAGACGTCTTCTGGGGGTTGGCTATCTCATAAGGTTTGATGTTAGTTCTTTATGCAGGACATAGCAGAGAGAAGTACTGCTTCAGTGACATGGTGCTCTCCTCTGTTTATCTAGTTGTTCAACCCTCTAAGGTATAGTTACAAGCAAATTAGTGATCATGGGTATCATTGCATGCCATTTTAAATGACATAAAATCATTCAAGGGAAGAAGGAGTAAAAGTTGGAGGTCTGTCCACTCTGCATCAGCAACTGTAGGTGATGGCTCGTTAGAAGAAACTTGTCAGTCCCTAAGCGTATACTGTTAATAAGCTCATCTATACTTTAATTAGGAATCCTTTTACAGAATAAATTGCATGAAAGCCAGTGGAGAAATAAAGACTGAAGGGTAGTGGACATGAAAAATAATTTTTAAACAGGAAACTTAACAGTTCTGAAAATACTGAAGACACCTTGGAACTTAAATTTGGTAATGCTTTAAAAACCAGTGAAGGATATAAGTAATTGAGAAAAATAAGGGTGTTTCAAATACTGGCTGATAGTGAGTTAGATACATTGTAGCAGGCTTTGTTTCCCCTTGTTTTCTTTTTCTAAGAATCATGTAAAACCCTCAATAACTTTAACAGAAAACCCCAAAACTATTCCCATAGTTGTCATCTGGTTCTTAACTATTTCTTTATTTAACTATCAATATTATTTGGAAACCAACATTTACTAAAAATTACAGTAATATAGTGGAATTTTAGCCTGAAAAAAATAAAGACTTGTAAAAAATAAATAATCGAAAACAACCAGGCAAAAATATTTATTTTGCTTTGGTTTGGGTTTTGATTAAAGAAAAATGCATATCTTGAAAGGTATGCACTGTAAGCAGTACTGCTGGATGTAATACTAATTCAGATTGCTAAGTTAAGCATGTCTGTAAAGCCTGTAGGATCAAATAATTGTAGTACATTGCTATTGTAAAAGATTGTGAAAGGCAGGAAAACAAAATGGGGTTTAGACGGCACCTGGCATGGAATTTTTCCAAAACTGCTGCATGGTTAAACTAGGAATTTAAGAAAAAATTAATCTTGTTGAGTGATCTCGTTTATGTATGACTGCTTTGGATGTTTTTCGTTGTCCATATTGCAAAATATCGTCCAACTTCAAATGTGCTTAATACAGGTTGTCTGAACTTTTGAAAAACACTGGCTCATGCAGAGAGCACACAAAAAAGAGCATTTTACAGCATCCAGCTGCCTCAACTGCTTAGAAACAAGGCAACCAGCAGGGAAAAAAAAAAAAAAAGCAAATGGCCTTTAAGGAAGTGGTGCCTCCTCCCGGTGTCCCCAGGAGAGGGACCACGGGCCGGTACCGAGGTGTGGGCCTCGCTGTACGGCCTCGAGAGACCCCCGACCACCGGCCACGGGGAGCAGAACCGGAGGGGAAAGGCGGGGGAAGAGATTTCCTCGCTCGGGACGGGGACGGGACGGGACGGGTCGGGTCGGGACGGGACGGGGCAGGACGGGGACTGGAACGGGGACGGGACAGGACAGGGACGGGATGGGATGGGCCGGGCCTGGTCGGGTCGGGTCT